CTTTAACCAGTGCTCGTCTGAACACTGATAGAAGTCACAAGACTGCTCTAACTGCTGATGTGAAAGGGATTTAGCAGTTTATATTTCCTAAAATAATTGTGTTTCCATGTTCTGTGTACTGTGGGAGAGTAGATATAGTGAATGCAGTTTCCTGGGTTTAGTAACACTGTAATGTGGTTTTACAATGAATTGATAATACAGCTTAGGAAAAGCTCTAAACATTTGTTCTATCAGGGCGCCATCCTGTGTATGGTGTAAAACACAGGGAATAAGCAAAACTGTCTAGTGGATAAATCTTTTCAGTGGTCAGATAAAAATAAATCTTCTTTACCTTGAATAGATGGCAGTTCAAACCTTCAATAAATGTATGCCAATAGTTGTGACCTCTAACCAGCAAAATATGCTTGCTCCCAATACTGGTTGACATTCCCAACTTTTGCTTTTGTTGAGTTCTGAACTTCAGGAGGCATACACTTTTTTAGTAGGTTTGAACTATCGCAGCCTCATTACTCCCAACAATACCCACCCCCCCAAAAGCAAAATTATTGCTGAAACAAAAATGTAAAAAAAGTGTCTGTTTCAAACAAGATAGTTAATACACCATCCTCCCGTTGCTGACTGAAGAATCTTCAGAATCCACCATTTTGGAAATGTCGATTTTCTGGTTCATGGCTGCACTAGTCTGTGGTTTCTTTAGCCAAAGTTACATAGTTACATAGTTAGTCTGGCTGAAAAAAGACAAACGTCCATCCAGTTCAACAAAAAAAACAAAAAAAACAAAACCATAATCCTACACCCACAGTTGATCCAGAGGAAGGCAAAAAAACCAGCAAAGCATGATGCAATTTGCTCCTGCGGGGGAAAAAATTCCTTCCTGATCCCCCGAGAGGCAACTGGACATTCCCTGGATCAACTTTACCTATAAATAGTAACCAGTTATATTCTGTGTATACAAGAAAGAATCCAGGCCTTTTTAAAGCAATCCACAGAGCTGGCCAGAACCAGTTTTTGAGGGAGTCTATTCCACATTTTCACAGCTCTCACTGTAAAGATACCTTTCCGTATTTGAAGATTACATTTATTTTCCTCCAGATGTAAAGAGTGCAACATTGTCCTCTGTGATGACCTCAGGGTGAATAGCCCTACACTGAGTTGTTCAATATATGAACCACTGATGTATTTATACATGTTGATCATATCCCTCCTTAATCTCCTCTTCTCAGGAGAGAATAAATTCAGTTCCTCTAATCTTTCCTCATAGCTGAACTCCTCCATGCCTCTTATCAGTTTGGTTGCCCTTCTCTGTACTTTCTCCAGTTCCCCAATGTTCTTTTTGTGAATTGGTGCCCAAAACTGAACTGCATATTCCAGATGAGGTGTTACTAATGATTTGTACATGGGTAATATGATATCTCTCTCTCTGGAGTCTATACCTCTTTTAATAGAAGAGAGGATTTTGCTCGCTTTAGAAACTGCAGCTTGGCATTGCATGCCATTATTAAGCTTGTGATCTACCAGAACTCCCAGATGCTTCTCCACCAACTCTAAATCAATTACATAGTAGTGATATAAAGGCCAGCAGAATGAACCACTGAGTACAGCTGGTGACAAGAAAATTGGAAAATTCAGAAATGTCACATTTAGAAGACTGAGTGTGATTTCTCTATAACACAGAAGAGATTGGCAGCTTGGGAAGGAGCAGTATGTATTCATGATCTTATTTGCAGAGAACACTTCTTTTAATACTTGTATTCTAGCAACAAAGTTACTTTATTTAATAAAGAGTTCTCCCTTGAAGACTTGCTATTGAGAAAAAAAAAATCATATTTCATCCGGCTATCAGTGGGGATTTGCTAAGTTCCACTACTGGTGAATGTGCCATAAATTTTACTGTCAGACAAGCTTCCTGTTCTTCCTCCTAGATATTTTACCTTTTTGTGCTTTTCACATGATTTTTTCACCTTCTGGGGATGACTGGTCTTGAAGTTAGTTTATCTTTAACTTTTGATATTTGTCTCAGGCATTATAGAGCAAGTACATGTATGGTACTTTATGTATTTAGTGTTTAAATTTAGATTTGGTCCAGCTAACCTATGATTCTTTCATGCAATGAAAAAGCATGAGATGCACTTTAATGGAGGCTAACATGATGGCAGGAGGGCAGTGGTGTTTTTTGTTTTAGTGCTGCCCTAGGCAACATAAAAATCCCCCCCCCCCCCCCCCAAATGAGAGAGAGAGAAAAAGAGAGAGGAAAAAAAGAGAGAACGAAGGAGAGAAAAAGAAAGAGAGAGAGAGAGCGAGAGAGAAGGAGGGAGGGGGAGTGAGGGAGAGGGGTGGGGGTGAGGGAAATAGGGAGAGGGAGAGGGGGGGTGAGAGAAATAGGGAGAGGGAAATAGGGAGAGGGAGAGGGGGGTGAGGGAAATAGGGAGAGGGAGAGGGGGGTGAGGGAAATAGGGAGGGAGAGAGAGGGGGGGGGGGTGAGGGAAATAGGGAGAGGGAGGGAGGGAGAGAGAGAGAGGGGGGGGGGTGAGGGAAATAGGGAGGGGAGAGAGAGCGGGAGAAGGAGAGAGAGAGAGAGAGGGGGGAAATATGGAGAGAGAGGGGGGGTGAGGGAAATAGGGAGGGGAGAGAGAAAGCGAGAGAGGGAGAAGGAAAGAGAGATAAGGAGAGGGGGGAATAGGGGAGAGAGATAGAGGGGGGTGAGGGAAATAGGGAGGGGAGAGAGAGAGGGGGAAAGAGAAATAAAGAGAGAGAGAGCTAGAGGAGAGAGAGGGGGTGAGGGAAATAGGGAGGGAGAGAGGGGGGTGAGGGAAATAGGGAGGGAGGGAGAGAGAGAGAGCTAGAGGGGAGAGAGAGAGGGAGAAGGAAAGAGAGAGAGAAGAAGGGGAGAGATGTTGTATGATTGTTACCCTCACCTGGCAGCCAGAGAGAAGGATGAGCTGCCAGGATCCACTCCTCCAGCTGAAGCCTCTTAAACTCCTGTTATAGGAGCTGTGCTGTGCCTGCATGTCTGCTCTCCGGCTTCTTGGTGATCTCGCTGCAAGCAGATCCAGAAGGAGGTGGGACTGGAGCATGGGGCGGCCATGGGGGCAAAAAAAAAAAATCACTGATGAACCAGGGGAAGAGGAGAGGAGGACAAGTGACAGCTGGGCGGTTGTCAGTGGAGATATAAGCAAACAAGGAGAGATCAGCAGATATTGTGTGCTGGAGTTCCTGCACTTCACCAATGTGTGTATGTGAGCTCTCCCCACTCCCTGCCATGGTCAGCTGTCTGCTTTCAGATGATCACCCCTCGCCTGGCTGCCTGCCCTGTCTCCCTCCAGGTGGACTCTCCAATCTCCCTTAAGATTGGCCCTGGCACAAGCCCTGGTCACCTGCTACATGAGTTCCTTCTTCTGGGGGGGGGGGTTGCTCGGTGGTGCCACCCCCCCTTCAAAATGCCACCCTAGGCAAACACCTTGTTTGCCTCGTGGAAAATACTCCCCTGCAGAAGGGCTAACCTTCCAGTCGACACGCATCCCACTACCTCCTAAGCTCAGGGACTCAGCTCAGAGGAAGACCAATCGCATAAAATGATAATGTTCATCCAACACTTATAAAGGTTATGCAGCTCTAGCACAAAGCTCTTGTGTGGTAGAGAACAAAAAAAACAAAGCGTACCAATCTTGCTCATTATCTCAGTAAACAGTTCATGAATTTATTGATAAATTATACTCACAAGAGTAGCAGTAAAAAAAGGCATATAACATGCAAAACCAACACAGGGTTAGAAGACACGTGCCAGAGCTCTGAGGAAGCTCCCTCCAGATGGATCTGGCACGTGTCTTCTAACCCTGTGTTGGTTTTGGATGTTATATGCCTTTTTTACTGCTACTCTTGGAAGTATAATTTATCAATAAATTAAGTTACTGTAATATTATTAATATGTGTGATGGTAATTTGAACATGTTTCAATGTATGTTTTATTTAATGATATAATACTTAAGTGCAGGATTTTCAGACTGCGTGTCATCTTATGTGTTACTTTTCATTTAGTAATCTGTATTGGGAAAATGTACTGTATGTGTAATGTGTGTGGGTGTATATGATTTTACACAATACATCATCATATAATACTTATAATTGAAAATAACAGAACTCCAGTGTTTCAAAGGCTGCACACCGATGACGTCACTTCTAGATAAAACTTTAGCCATGCACATCGATACGACTGAGCCCTTCGGGGTGAAACGCATTAGAGAGGGGCAGTTTCTGGGCAGCTCATGGCTGAATAAAGTTGTTTCTAGAAATTACCTCATCATTGTGTGGCCTTTGTAGTCACGGCACTAGGAGCAGAAGAACGGCATTGTTGACTTGCCCCTGGCATTTCCATGAATGGAGTGATGCCATTCTCTTCTGATTATCGAACAGTAAAAATAACAAGTTGGGTAATACACAATATAGCATCCTTGTGCCTGACCTGCAGCCCAAACACCACATCTGGTCCCTTGGTATTTGTTGCGTAGTCCTTGGACCCCAGCAGTCTGTTGTGGAAATAGGAGCACTGACTTGTAAAAGGGTGATAGAAGTGATCTTTCTAAAGCAGGCCATACATGGGTCAAATTCCGAACTATTTTGCAATCGAAATTGAAAACATCGTTCATTCTGTAATCCAAAGGTGCCACCAATGATTTTGAAAATCGGTAATTTTTCACGAATTTTTTAGCATGCCTGATAAACGAAATGGGGAGGAACCATGAAAATAAGCCAGTGCCATTGCCCCAGTAACAGAGTGAAAATCGGCCGATTATTCTTAGGTCAGATTTTCGAACTAAAAATCATTCGAAAATCGACCCATGTATGGCTGGCCTTAGCCTCACATAACAATCCCCAGCCTCTCCTCTGCAGGATGTCTCTATACTCCAACCAATCCTGTAGCATGCCTGCAGTCTAGGGCCATCATCTTATATGCAACAAACACTTATTGAACATTCAAAATAAATAATTGAACCTGACATTACCTCAGGATCTTGTGAGACATTCTCATTGTGCCCACAGGCATCAACAATATCTGGAAATGGATCAGTCCATCCTTTTGTTGTGCAGGTTCTGCTAATATTTCCTACAGGAAAAGAAAAATTAAGTATGTCTTACATAGAGAAGACAACAGACAGCTACAATGTTGGCATAGGCTATTCACAGTCCACAAACAAATCAAGTTATAGTCCTCCACCACCAAATCCATAGCAATATGAGCCCAGCTTCTCTGGGACAAATCTCAAGATGGGTCATTGAAAACTGGAGTTTTGTCTACAGAAAGTTTATGGGTGAGAAAGTCTCTGATTCCTATACTGATCAAGTATTCATGATTATTAAATTATTCAGTGTTATGTATATTTCAATTGCATTGTCCCTCTACAATGTAAGGCAAGAGCAAGCAAAAAGCTTTTTTTTTTCCTAGTTTAGGAGAGTGGAAAATCTGCAACAGGGTCATTGACAAGGGGTCACAGCTTTTCCCCACTCTGTTAAAGAAAAGCATTTATATTTCTGTCCATCTTGCTGTGTTGGAAATTTTTCTCCTCACATCCTGCCTGGTAAAATCTTCTTAGCTGAACAGGAAGTATGGATAAATTGTTAGAATGGATCCCCAGATAGTGGTAAAAGCCTGACAGGAGATCTAAGCCTCACACACTATGAAAACCATTTTGGATGGACATACACTTTAGGCTAATAATTTTGATTTTATTGGATATGTTTTATAACAGAAAGTAGAAAATATTGTTTTTTTTCCAAACATTTTCATTTATATAGCAAAAAAATAAAAAAAAACCCCAGTGGTAACCAAATACTACCAAATGAAAGCTTTATTTCTGTGAAAAAATGATATGCAGTAAATGTAATTTGTGTACAGTGTTGCATGACCACACAATTGGCAGTAGCACAGAGCTGAATTGAAAAAAATGGCCTGGTCATGAAAACGGTAAAACCTTCCGGAGGTCAATTGGTTAACTAGATGTATAGGATTTTAAATAATTGTAAGTTTTTAGTTATTTATGATATCTACAAAAAAAACATGGCAAGGAAATTTGTATCTTCACAGTTAAAGTGGTTGTAAGGGGTGAAGGCTTTTTACCATCATGCATTCTATCCAAGAAGGTAAAAACCATCAGTGTGCAGCCCCCCCCCCCACACACACACACAGCCCCCTAATACTTACCTGAACCAATCCAACAATGTGCACAAGAGCAGAGTCTTTTCTGGGTTGCTCTCTCCTCATTGGCTGAGATACAGCAGTGGAAGCCAACGGCTCCCACTGCTGTCAATCACAGCCAGTAGGGAGGATGCAGGGGGAGAGAGGGAGCCACGCTCTGTGTGTCCGACAGACACACAGAGGCGGCTTAGGAGTGAGCACATACAAGTGCCTCCAGAGCAAGCAGCTTGCTTCAGAGGCATGTGGCAAGGGAGAGGGGCTAGAAGCACTATCAGGGGACCTGAGAAAAGGAGGATGTGGACCGCTCTGTGCGCCAGCATTGCACAGAGCAGGTAAATATGATGTTTGTTATTTTAGAGAAATAAAAATCAAGCCTTTAGAACCACTTTAAGGAGCCTGGATTTCCAACAGTCTTAAACTGTGTTTCCACTTTTGCAGACAAATTGGGATAACACCTACTTTATATTTGTTACATGTTTCCATTCACATAGCATAACATAAAGATCTATAAAATGCTGCTTACATTTGTACTTCCTCTTTACTGGAAACTCCAAGATGGAAGTTTACCCCAGCTAAGTAATGCTAAGGCGGGGGCTAGGGAGCTACTGTTTTCCATAATTAACCCTGTCTGTACTGTGCTGGCAGATCTCATTATCAGTTGTATAGATTTACTGCATTTAAATATACTGTATAAAGTTCTGCAATAAATGATAGGTGTAAAGTGCAAACCCTACTGTAGCTCAAGGTCCATTACCACCGAAGGTAACCTTTAACAACCACCTATCTGTTATTTTTGTATTACAGATGATTTGGCCCATGTGCTAATCTTATGGAGACAAATAAAAACCTGGATATTTCTCAGACACTTTGGGGAGGAATTTATTAAAACTAGAGCAGACAAAATCTGGAGAAGCTATGCATAGTACCCAACAAACTTCTAGTTTCAGCTTGTCCAGTTAAGATTTAAAAATTGTCATGCACAGCTCCTCCAGATTCTGTCTGTTCCAGTTTTAGTAAAGTCCCCAATCTGGGATTATATAGTATATGGTACAAGCTGAACAGATAGTCAAGGTCAGCTTGACGATCAACATCAGGAGGTGCACAGAATGTGCCTCAAAGCCAAAATACAGAGTAGAATCAAAGCTGAAGTTCAGAGAGAGGGTCTGGGCAAGCCAATTTAAGTGTAATCACATAAAAATATCCCTCCCATGAGGTAACACAATGCAACACTAGCCTTTTTTTTGTTTTGAATAGGTTAAGGAAGGGTGAAAGTGATACTAAAGGTTCCAATTAAGAAAAAAAAGCCTGTTATACTAACCTGCACTGCGCAATGGTTTTCCTCTTCTTGGGGCCCCTGCTGGTGCTCCTGGCCTCTCCCCCCCGGCTGAGTGCCTCCAGAGCAAGCTGCGTACTCTGGGGGCACTCTAGAATGCTCGCTCCCGAGCTGCCTTCCTCCTCTCTTGCTGTGAATGGCTCCCACTGCTGTATCTCAGCCAATGAGGAGAGAGAGACCCAGAAGAGACTCTGCTCTTGTCCACATTCTTGGGTTAGGCTCAGTGTGACCTGATGACATCTGTGCAACTTCATGCAAGACACACATGAAATTACAAAAAACAGTGCAGGAACCTTTTCAAAGTGCGACTGATTTGCACGGTTCTATAGGCGCAAATAGGGTGCCACTTGTCATGCGACTTTGATCTGGGGCTTACAACCACTTTTAACTATGCAGATACAAATTTCCAATGATGGGCACTCATAGGCGGCACTGAAAGGCACTAATAGATAGCACTGAAGGGTACTGACTGGCGGCACTGACATGCACAGATTGGATTAAGATGTACTGTTATGATGGAGGAGATAATAAGGATCACATTTATCCCTATACACCGACACTACTTTTCTCATGCTGTGACAGAGTGAGGTAAGTACTGCCAATAGCCGGCAAGTGTATTTACATGGTGGTCAGCTGTGATTGGACACAGCTGATCACCTGACAAAAGGCCGCTGTGATTGGCCTTTTACCATGTCATGTGTTCAGCTACACAGCGTACAAAGACAGTGCCAGGGGCGTGCGGGGTGTGTGTGTTCTGTGAGGACGTCATATGACAGTGCGGGGGGGTGTTCTGGGAGGACACCATATGACAGCATGTGGGGGAGGGTGTTCTGGGAGGACGTCATATGACGCCCTCCCAGAACTGGACTACCTTGCTGTAGCCATCATTTGGCTATAGCGTGGTAGTAAAGTGATTAAGGGGGTTCCCCCGATAGGTAGATTTTTTTTGGTCTAGTTACCACCCTTTTATTACATGCCGGATAAGCTCTGTGTTCATTTATTGTTTTTGTACCTGCTATACGCTAAGTTTCATTCTGCTCTGATTGTTCAGTGTAATTGGATGCACCTCTGAATTTTGTATCATTATTTCCTTTTTTGTGAAATTTCTTGTCTTGCTGAAGTATGCAATAAAAATTTAATTTTATTAAAAAAATAACTGTGGCATTTGTTATTCACTCATTGACAATGAATAGTATGACAATAATAATTAAAGTTGTTGTCAACTGCAAAATCCATTTGAAAAATAAATTGGTTTATTGACAATACGATGAATCCCAAAATACATTCAAAGAAGAACAATATAATTAGCCTAGTGTGTGTTAGTAATAGTGGAGAGCCAACGTGTAAGATCTATTCATTTTCTGTTTGCCGTGTCTATTTTTATCCTAAAACTGGCTTTCTCATTATCTGTCATTTTAGACCAATAGATGGTAAAGTAATGCTTATGTATTATGTATGAAGTTGTGCAGTTCTGAGCTGGGTTTAAAGTCAATATGAGTAAGGATTTGTGACTCTTTCTATAATGTCACAGTGTGCGTCACTTACCATCTTTGCTGAAGAAATGCCGTAGCACTAAAGGGCAAGACTGAGTGACGGTTTTTCTCCAAATTTAGCTTGGTCCCAGCATGTTATATTATCCCAAACACCCAAACATCCTGTCAACAAATATAAAGATAATTAATGTTATTTTTTTTTTTTCAAATATAATTTCACTGAACATTTACAATTCACAGCATTGTAGGTGATAGAGTGTTAACGTGTTACTAAACCCACAACAGTAAAATCAGTCTGTATATGCAGTAAAGCATGCTTATTATACTCACTGTGGAACCTAAGGGGTTAATCCTTCACATTGTGTAAAAAGGCTGTTTGATCCTGACTTCTCTGATCCTTCCCTTCTTCCAGTGTCTCCCTCTTATCTCCTGATAAGACATATGTGTGGAGACACTATGCACATTCACAGTTTGGTGTATATTGCTAGAGAGGGTTTTTTTTTTTTCCTGGGAGAGTGCATGTGATTAGCACAGCACCAATCAGCACTGTCCAGAGGTCAGGGGTTCTGCATCCTCTTAGAGCAGAATGAAAACTCCTCCTACAAGCTTTAACATGTGTTCTGCTGGACACTGATAGAGGTCACAAGACTGCTCTGACTGCTGAGGAGAAAAGATATTTAGCAGTTTATACTTACTAAAATAATTGGATTTCCATGTTCTGTGTACTGTGGGAGATCAGATATAGTGGATGCATGGTCCTGAGTTTAGTAACACTTTAAACAGTTGACTCGAGTATTAATCCTACAATGGTATTTTCAACGTTTATTGTTTTTGGTTTCTGTCATTTGGGATCAATTTTGATTGATTTTTTTATTTAATTTATATTTTCTTTTTTACTAAGTATATGAACTCTTTTATTTACAAGTAAACATTTAAAGAATGCGTAAACCAAACATTTCATATTCCTGGTAAGTGCTTGCTGAAAAAATGTAGCAATGTCGAAGAAAGATGCATGTGCTTGAGGTGAGATGAATGGTTTCCCATGATTAAGATCCAAGGGGCGGAGTGGAACGTGTTGGGGAGTGGCCTGGCTGGAATCCAGGTTGAGGCTGCCATTCATCTCACCTCATGCGCATGGGTCTGCCTTTGATGTGTGGCTTATGGATGTTTCCTTTATTGCTGCAGCTTGGAGCTAGGACAAGCTCCCTATCCCAGCCAGCACTTACAGCGGTCTAGTTTAAACTTCTCAAATGATGCAGCAGACTAGTCTATCTTGCTGATATTCTCAAACTGGTACTCAGTAGTTTGTATGGCCTCCACATGCTAGTATACATGCCGGACAACATTGGGGCAGGCTCCTGATGAGACGATGGAAGGTATCCTGGGGTATTTCCTCCCAGATCTGGATCAGGGCATTACTGAGCTCCTGGACAGTCTGAGGTGCAACCTGGTGGCGTTGGATGGACCAAAACATGATATCCCAGAGGTGTTCTATTTGAATTAGGTCAGGTGAGCGTGGGGGCCATTCATTAGTATCCAATTCCTTCATCCTCCAGGAACTGATTGCATACTCTCGCCACATGAGGCTGGGCATTGTCGTGCACCAGGAGGAACCCAGGACCCACTGCACCAGCGTAGGGTCTGACAATGGGTCCAAGGATTTCATCCCGATACCTAATGGCAGGGTGCCATTGTCTAGCCTGTAGAGGTCTGTGCGTTCCTCCATGGATATGCCTCCCCAGACCATCACTGACCTACCACCAAAATGGTCATTCTGAACGATGTTACAGGCAGCATAACATTCTCCACGGCTTCTCCAGATCCTTTCACGTCTGTCACATGTGCTCAGAGTTAACCTCCTCTCATCTGTGAAAAGCACAGGGTGTAAGTGGTGGACCTGTGAATTTTGGTGTTCAATGGCAAATGCCAGTCATGCTCTATGGTGCCGGGCAGTGAGCACAGGGCCCACTAGAGGACATTGGGCCCTCAGGCCATCCTCATGAAGTCTGTTTCTGATTGGTCAGAGACATTCACACCAGTGGTCTGCTGGAGGTCATTTTGTAGGGCTCTGACAGTGCTCATCCTGTTCCTCCTTGCACAAAGGAGCAGATACCGGTCCTGCTGATGGGTTAAGAACCTTCTACGGCCATGTCCAGCTCTCCTAGAGTAACTGCCTGTCTCCTGGAATCTCCTCCATGCTCTTGAGACTGTGCTGGGAGACACCGCAAACCTTCTGTCAATGGCACATATTGATGTGCCATCCTGGAGGAGTTGGACTGCCTGTGCAACCTCTGTAGGATCCAGGTATCACCTCATGCTACCAGTAGTGACACTGACCCTAGCCAAAACTAGTGAAAAACAGTCAGAAGAGATGAGTAGGGGAAAAAAATGTCAGTGGCCTCTACCTGTAAAACCATTCCTGTTTTGGGGGTTGTCTCATTGTTGCCCATCTAGTGCACCTGTTGTTAATGTCATTAACACCAAAGCAGCTGAAACTGATTAACAACCCCCTCTGCTACTTAACTGACCAGATCAATATCCCAGGAGTTTAATTGACTTGATGCTAGACTTTGATTAAAGGGTGTTCCTTTAATTTTTTTCGAGCAGTGCATATATATACTGTATATATATATATACACACACATATATGTACACATTACGTTCACATACGGTGCCTTGAAAAAATATTCATACCCCTTGAAATTTTCTACATTGTTTCATGTTACAACCAAGAACGTAAATGGATTTTAATGTGATAGACCAACACAAAGTGGTGCATTATTGGGAAGTGGAAGAAAGATGATAAATAGTTTTCACATTTTTTAACAAATAAATATCTGAAAAGTGTGGCGTGGAAATTAGTATGTGATTTTACATTTAGGGCCAGTTCACACTATAGAAACATAATCCAGATGCGTTCCAGATGAGCTTCTGCATGCGCTGTTTTGATGCATTCTAGTGCAATTTTGATGTGTTCCAGTTCATTTTTCCCCTCTCTTTTTCTTTAATTTAAATAGAGACATTTTCATTACAGTACGTTTAGTGCGCTCCAGTGAGTTTTTTAATGCTTTTTCCTGCATTCCAGTACAGTTCGGTGCAGAAAAAATGCAGCCTGTTCTACTTTATTTCTGTACCTGGAACACACTGGAACTGCAAGCACTGATGTGAACTATGACATTGACAACCATATAACCTACTTTCTGTGCGTTTTAGATGCAGAAAAAAGCAACTGAAACGCATGTAGTGTGAACTGTCCCTTAGACCAAAGAAACACTTGGAGTGCAGCAGAGAAAACAAAAAATCCAGTCCCTTCCCTGTGCTATGTGGCAGGGTTGTGTAAAGCTCAAGACTGGATGGATAGAAACTGAATTCCTTTAGCAATACAAATAGCTACCAGACATGTATTTTATCTGTGTATTTTGCGGTTTGCCTGGTGTCCAGCTTTAATTGTGTCAATTCCTTTAAATTGAAAATAAGCTGTAGCAACTCTCTTGTCTACAGTACACTAATTTATTAGAAACAGTTATAAAACAGGATTAATAAATCTATCACCGTGCAGCATTATCATTGAGTTTCCATTACAAATGGTACTATGGTACTATTTTTAAATTCAGAATGACTGTCCTGATTGTCAGATTCTTCCTGCTGAGCTCCATGGTTATAATTTTCTTAAAAAATTCAATGTGATTTTCCTCCTTGGACAGAACTAGGAGGAATTTAATAATAGAGTATGGTAAAATATACTATAGACCTGGAAGAGGATTTTAAAGCAAAGCTAGACTGTATCTTTAAAATGGTCCTGAGCTGTAAACATGTGTCATAATCTGTACTGCCATAATCAATTCAAACTGCTTTCAATTTGACAATTTACCATGTTAAACATTCCCCAAATTAAAGGATGAGTTTACCTTTTAGACAAAAATAATTACATCCACATTTTTTTGCAGGTAAAAAAATGTGCATTTATTATTTTCATCTGCAGGAGTCTGGAAAGCATTGCATCAGCAATCAGTAGATTGCTGATGCCATGCAGGTCTCCTGCAGACCTGTCAGAATATCTGCTTGCCATACGGGATGGATGGTCAAGCACATATTCTGACAGGAAGCTTCAGTGAACTACCACAGCGCCGTGGTAGTTCATTGAAAGCTACAAGCACACAGCCGCTAAGGCAGCCAGGACTTGTAGGCACTAAATGACAGAACTCTGTGAAAGAGTGACGTTGTCATGTGGGTGGAGCCCGACACAGCCATGCTGTTTTCAAATCCGAAATATAGTACGGGGAGAGGTTTACCCCTACTATCTGTCAGAGGGCGGGTGGTGGCTGCAGCTATGAGAACATGTTACATGTTCTACCCTAAAAACGGGTGGGAACATGTTATGTTCCCAAAGGTGAATTTATCCTTTAACTTTGTGGTCCATTTGTTAATCTGTAACTGTTTTGTATAAATTGAATGAGCCAAGCAGTGTGCATCCAAAATCACAGGTAGAAAAAATATTTTTAAATAAAAATGATAGCACCAGAAAAGTGAATATTTTTCATAGCCCAGACATAGCTTTGGAAATGTGCTTTATTTAGTTTGGACATTACCACGTTCATATTCCCTGCACTGAACAACTATTTGTGGATGAAACACTTCAAAAAACAGCTATTTGGCACTCCATCAAGTGAGGAATTACCTTTAAATACTAGGCAGACATAGAAAAAGTGAACATTTGCTATCTTACAGAGAACATCTAGAAATGTTAAATGTTAACCCTGAAATTTTAACTCACAACACGAGATGTGAAGTGAGATTTGGTGAAGTCACCATAGTTCTGCTCACTATTCTTGCTGGAGAGGAAGCTATACCTTAGGGCCTGTAGTACAAAGATCTCCCTGCTTCGGCTATATTCATTTTCTGTTTATTTCTGAACCTCTGCTGCTGATGGAAGCATGAGGAAGAATGGCACTGGCTCTACCGAGATCACCACCTCCATACAGACACAGTGCATAACAAAGTAGTGGCGGGGAAAAAACTGCAGGGAGGAAATACCGGGGTCCAGTATTTTGACCTCTGTTTGTCTTTGTGGGCACAGTTTCACAGTACAGGTTCTCTTTGAAGCTATGCCCAAATTTAGAGAACTAAATCTTTAGGGGTGCCACATTATGCCCACTGAAGGC